CTGACTAATTAATCCCTTAATGACGAGTGTAAACAAGCCCCGCCCCTGCCGGCGCTCCCCGTGCCGGGATTCCTGGAAGGGCAGGGGATGGGGAGGTTCCCCCCGTGTTTGCCTCACTCCCCTGCGGTTTGAGGGGGCACACAGGGCGCAGGTGGCCCTGGGAGTGTCCCCAACCTGCCTCACCTGCGGGGGTCGGGGGGACCTTCTCCCTTCCCGCAACTTCCTTTTCCAACCTCAGCAGTTCCCGGATTCCCTCCCTTGCCCGCGGGGATGGAACTGGTCCCTCGGGGGGTCGGAGCGTTTTCATCCTCGAGCCCCCCTGGCCCAGCCCGGGGTCCCCCACCCCCGCTGGCCCCCCCGGGGGTCTCCGGGCCCCTCACCCCCCTCCCGTCCCGCAGTTTGTCCTGAAGAATTACGGGGAGAACCCCGAGAACTACAACGAGGAGCTGCGGAAGCTGGAGCTGCTCCGGCAGGTGAGGGGGGACCTGCCCGGGGGGGGCCCTCGGGGGGGGCTCTACCGACCCCCCCTCACCCCGCCCCGTGTTCCCAGAGCGCCGTCAGCGTTCCCAGGGACTTCGAGGGCTGCAGCACCCTGCGGAAGTACCTGGGCCAGCTGCACTTCCTGCAGAGCCGCATTCCCATGGGAGCGGGGCAGGACGCCGCCGTGCCCGTCACCTGGTGAGGGGAACCCCGGGGAAGGGGGGCTGTCCTGGCACAGGAGCATCCCAGGGACCCCTGGGGAACCGTGTCCTGCCCTGGGGTGGCACAGGGAGGTCCTGGGAGCCCTCGGGGAATGGGGTCCTGGCACAGGGGAGTCCTGGGGACCCCTCAGGGGATGGGGTTCTGCCCCAGGGCAGTACAGTGGGAACCTCTGGGAAATGGGATGCTGTGCCAGGGAGGCACAGGGGGGCTCTGGAGGACCCCTTAGGGAACGGGCTCCTGGCACAGGGAGGTCCTGGGGACCCCTCAAGGATCAGTGTCCTGCCCCAGGGTGGAAGGGGGGGATCCCAGGGAACCTTTGGGGAGCAGTGTCCTGCACAGGGGGTTCCCAGGGACCCGTGGGGAACAGGGCTCCTGGCACATCCTGCTTCTGGGAGAATCCCTAATTGTTCCCTGTCCTGGGACCCCCTTTTCCCCCAGGACCGAGATCTTCTCGGGGAAGGTGGTGACACATGAGGACATCAAGTATGAGCAGGCCTGTGTTCTCTACAACCTGGGTGAGGAACGGGACCCCGTGGATTGGACCTCCCTGCTCCATTCCTGGGGCTGTTGGGGGGTCTCTGCCCCACTGAGCCTGCCCTGTCCCCACAGGAGCACTGCATTCCATGCTGGGAGCCATGGACAAGAGAGTGTCTGAGGAGGTAACGGCCCCAGAGAGCCCAGAGACAGCTCTGCCCCACAGGGCTGTGACAGGGCAGGGGCTGTCCCTGTGCTGGGAGCTGGGAGGGCACACCTGCAATCATGGGGGCAGGTTTGGGGCTCTGGGAACAGGTCATGGAGGAGCTGGAGCATGTCCAGGGAAGGGAAGGGAGTTGGGGAAGGGGCTGGAGCACCAGGAGCAGCTGGGGAGTCTCAGGGGGGACCACAGGGGGACAGGAGGGTGAATCTGGGGAGGTTGGGCCCTGCTCCCAGGGAACAAGGGACAGGAGGAGAGGGAATGGCCTCCAGCTGTTCCAGGGGAGGGTCAGGTTGGATATTGGAAAATTCCTGCTGGGAAGGGCTGTCCAGCCCTGGCAGAGCTGCCCAGGGCAGGGGTGGAGTCCCATCCCTGGAGGGATTTCAAAGCCTTTTGGATGTGGCCCTTGGGGACGTGGTCAGTGGTGGCCTTGGCAGTGCTGGGATCGGGTGAACTCCATGATCTGGGAAGTCCTTCCCAACCCAAACCATTCCATCCCCTCAGGGCATGAAGGTTTCCTGCACCCACTTCCAATGTGCTGCTGGTGCCTTCACCTACCTGCGGGATCACTTCCCACACTCCTACAGCGTGGACATGAGCCACCAGATCCTCAGCCTCAACATCAACCTCATGCTGGTGGGCACTGGGGGCACTGGGGGCACTGGGACACCTCGACCTGTGTCCATAGGGTTGGGTGTTCCCTGGGGATCCAAGGAGATGGGATCCCAGTGTCCCATGGGGAGTTGTCTGTGGGATCTGGGCTCTCTCCAGGGGGGAAAGGAGGTTTTGGGGAGCAATGGGAGTCAGGGAAGGCTCTGAGACATTCCTGGACTCTCTGGACACCTTGGGACTGATATTACCTGTGCCTCCTTGAACTCTCAGGAAAGGGGCTGGAGCTGGGGGGTCCTGCTGGAGTTCTGGGGTGTCCCAAGGGCTGGGGACACTGAACATTCCCCCTCTTGTCCCTGGCAGGGCCAGGCACAGGAGTGTCTCCTGGAGAAGTCCATGCTGGACAACAGGAAGAGCTTCCTGGTGGCCCGGATCAGTGCCCAGGTGAGCTCCAGGAGCTGCTCCCAGCACAATCTGGGCATTGGGAACTGCAGAGGGACTTTGGGCAAGGGCCTGGAGGGACAGGACACAGGGAATGGCTGCCCCCTGGCACAGGGGAGATTTGGGGGGGATATTGGGAAGGAATTCTTGGCTGTGAGGGAGGTGAGGGACTGGAATGGATTTCCCAGAGAAGCTGTGGCTGCCCCATCCCTGGAAGTGCCCAAGGCCAGGCTGGACAGGACTTGGAGCAGCCTGGATGGGGACAGGTGTCCCAGTGCTGTCCCCAGTCCCTGGCTCTGATCCCAGACACATCCCTGAGTTCCCCACAGGAACCCTTTTTCCGGGCGATCCCAATCCCTGGGCCGGTGCCCCCCCTGCCCTCCCTGCTGGGGCTCCCTGGGCTCTGTGTTCCCGGGGTGCCCAGCCCTGTCCCCCCCAGGTGGTGGATTACTACAAGGAGGCCTGCAGGGCGCTGGAGAACTCGGAGACGGCGGCGCTGCTGGGCAAGATCCAGAAGGACTGGAAGAAGCTGGTGCAGATGAAGATCTACTACTTTGCTGCCGTGGCCCACGTGAGTGGGGAGGGGCTGGGGGGCTCCCACCCCGCCTCGGGCTGATCCCTGGGCTTTTCCTGCCCCTCTCGAAGCTCTCCCCGGAGTCACACAGCTCTGCTCCCTGTTCCCTGCAGCTGCACATGGGGAAGCAGGCCGAGGAGCAGCAGAAGTTTGGGGAGAGGGTGAGCGAGGCCACGTCATCCCACGTCATCCACTCCAGGCTCTGGATCGTGGTTCTGGGAAGGGGGTTGTGTCTTGGGAGAGGGTGGCATGTTGGGCATCCATGAGTGTCCTGCCAGTGCCTGGGAGCTCTGGGAAACCCCTGGGAAGCTCTGGCCCTCAGGGACTGGTGTCCCTGTGCAGGGCAGGGACATTTCCTCCCGTGCCAACCCCAGTTCCCCCTCTGTCCACAGGTCATCTACTTCCAGAGTGCTCTGGATAAGCTCAACGAAGCCATCAAGCTGGCCAAGGTGTGTTCCTGGGAGCAGGGATTGGGGGTTTCCCACTCTAGACCTGGGCCCTGGGCTGCCAGGCTGGGAAGACTGGGAAGGGGAGGATGGGGATGGCTTTAAGAGGCTTCAGCTGCCCCCAGGCCTCTCCATTCCTGTCTGGAGTGCAGCAGGAGGTGCCTGGGAGGCTCTGGGAACACTGGCAGTGATTCCTGCTCTCAATTCCACAGGGCCAGCCCGACACCGTGCAGGAAGCCCTGAGGTTCACCATGGATGTGATTGGTGGGAAGTGAGTGTGGATGGGGCACCCCAGGGTGGTGTATCTGTCCTTCTCCAGGGATTGGGAATGTTGGGGGACAGGGAGCCTGGGGAGCCTCCCTGGTGTCCCCATTGCAGAGCCCGGCACTGCCCCAGGCTCTGGGGATGAACAACAGCTGCTGTGGGAATGCTGGAGTGATCCTGGGAGACCTGGGGGGCTGATCCCAGTGGGAGCGAGCTCAGGGAGCTGGGAATGCTGCCCACAGCTCCCGACAAGGCATCACCTCCCAATTGCAGGTACAATTCCGCCAAGAAGGACAACGACTTCATCTACCACGAGGCCGTGCCCGCGCTGGACACCCTGCAGTCTGTCAAAGGTGGGCAGTGGGACATGGCCAGGGGCTCCCTGGGAACAGGAACCCTGTGGGACACAGCCAGGGGCTCCCTGGGAACAGGGATCCATGTGGGACACGGCCAGGGGCTCCCTGGGAACAGGGATCCGTGTGGGACACGGCCAGGGGCTCCCTGGGAACAGGGATCCGTGTGGGACATGGCCAGGGGCTCCCTGGGAACAGGG